TATATATACTGTATATATATCCCACTGTCGGCGACATTGGGGGAGAAATGGGGGAGAACTATTGTGTATTCATTCATCAATAGAAGTCTCGTAATGCACGTCAGTACATTTCTCGCATCTAGAAAAAACAAAACTTTCCGAAGTTAGGAGAACCCCAAGAGGGTGAGCGATTATATGAAAACCGAGCTTTACCCTGACTATCGCACATAATGGGGTCCCAAAGTGGGCGGGGTCATGGAAAGAGAAAACGTAATGTTTGCTTGTTCCGTCGCTGGAAGACTATTTTAGATGTGGGGCGGGGTGGATTTTGGGTTCTCCTAACTTAGGAAAATTTTATTTTTTCTAGATGCTGAGAAATGTACTGACGTGCATTACGAGATTTCTATTGATGAATGAATACACACTGAATTAATAGTTCTCCCCCATTTTACCATGGACAAAATTAATAACTGCGATGATGATAATGATGATGATGATGTGATGATGATAAGGAGGAGGCATCGTAGCAGGTGACGACATGCTCCTGTGCAAGGTAAATTAACAGGCCCTTTGATATGAGTGTCAACCGAGGCCCGTATCCAGTTCGTCGTCACATTTTCAATGCACACAATCGGACAACAGTAATTATATTCAATCTCTACAATTAGTACATTCTCGACTTATAAAAAATATCATATATCTAATATTTTATATGCATGCTCGGAAGCGGAAAGTTTAACATAAAAGTTTGATATACGTTTCATGTTGTTCGTTGAGTGGTCTTTAATGATATTATATTCTAATATGACCACAACATTAGGAAAAACACTTTGTCACCTACAAAGTTCAGACCTATATACATTTATATACCTTGGCCTAGATCATAAGGAAGTCCGCTCTATATCCAAATTTCATGAAACTGAACGTTTTATGCATGCACCGACGTGGGAATTTTGTTTTATGTTACTTTTTTGTATAAATGGTCTTCTTTAAAATATTTCAGTCTAATATGACCACAACATAAGGAAGTCCTTTCTTTAAATGTTTAAATGTACAGAGAATTGTTATACAATCAAAATCATTATACACATGTTAAATCCAATTTAAAAAAATAAATAAATAAAAAAGTACGTTTCAGTGTAAGCGCCGACGTGGAAAGATTAACCTAATAATCTTGTTAATAATGCGGTTCTAAAATTAATTTTATGACCATAACTTTTAAGTTGTAACTTCAGGAAAAATAATTTTTATTGTACCGCCACCAGCTGGGAAAGTAATTAAATATGCATAAATGTCTTCTATGATTGGTTGATTCCCAACATTTCAATGCTTAGTGGTTGGACGGTCGGATATAATGTGTAACTCTCATAATAATTTCATATTTCGAAAATTTTTTTGGAGTATGATCACGTTCCATGATAGATTACATCCACAGGGTGCCCCTAACTCAAAATTTCAAAATTGAAGAAATTGCGTTTTTCCGAATCACGACAGACTGAGTAGATTAGGCCTATTGGTTAAAATGTAAAAATTGAAGATTTTATTTTTAAATCACAGAAACCCACAAATTTATATTCAGTACATTCTCGACTGTCTTGGAAATGTGGACCTTATTTGGTTGGGTGCGTTATACACACTCTTCGTAACACCCAACCTACTGGATATTCTGGCCTGGAAACTTCACTTTGGTGTAATTTTGGAATAACAGAATATAAAAATCAACGCACATGTATAGCCTATCCTCCCTCTGATTTTTATTAACCATACATTGTGAAATAAATCATAATAATAATAAAAGAACTCGTACGTTATCGCGCAGCCGATTTAATTACAGTCCCTCTTTGATTAATACTTAAACGGTGCAAAAAGTTTATTTTGTCTATACATTTTTGTCTTTGGTTTAGATTGGTGGCGTTTCTGACAAAAAGAGTTGGAATTCGCCAGACCACCAGGCACTGCTATCACTTTATATTGGCGAACGGCGCGAAGAGGTCTGGATCCGCGCCTTCCTCTAGGTTTCCGGAAATTGCACTCTCATACCTTACAACAATAAAATACAACAATTATTATTCTTAATACAATTTAGGGGGTGCGACCGCACCCTCTGCACCCACTCTGCATCCGCCCCAAAGGAGATTTATCTAGCTATCGAAATTTTTCAATTTTTACCATCATAATTAAATTCGTACTATATTCACTAGTTTTAGACGTGGTCCTTACCTGAAAAGTATTCCTGTCCTGTGACGTGAACAACAAACGAACAGCTTCCTTTGTTACCAGGAACATCAGTAGCGGAACAGGTAACAACTGTTAAACCAACTTCAAAGAAAGACCCAGAAGCTGGTGTACACGTTGCTGATATACCACTATGTACATTGTCTGCCACTGTGGGCTCCTTCCATGTTACTGGATTCTCAGACTGGTCAACAGAATTGTTCACCACGATGTGATGAGGACACATGAGGTCAGGCTCCTCATAATCTAAAAGTTTAGATTTATAATATGGATTTATAATAGGCCTAATATATAGATTTATTATCATCTCGTTGGTTCAAATAAATTGAAAAACTATTTATAGTTATATATACCAAACCAGATGAAATTATTCCAAGATTTAAATACTGTATCTTGTTTACCATCTGTATATGGTTAAACACTGAATAAAAATACTTATTTGAGGGAATGCTAAGTTGTGATCATTGGATAGAAAAATATACGGCAGTTAACAATTCAAATTCGACCTTCGGGGATTGAACTTTCTTTTAAAATCATATACCAATTCAATTCTTTGTAATTGGTATTAATTTTTCATACGGAGGATGTATTCCGTATATGAAATAATAAATAAAAGTTCATTATATTCCATGCTCTGTATATAAATGAACTTTCGTTTATTATTATTTTTTAAAATATGAGACTTAATAAAAGGTCATTTTATACAAATTCTATCCTCTGTATGATAATGAACTTTCATATTATTATTTATATAATAATAAATGAAAAATCAGTATATACAGAGGATGGAATATATTTACGATGAGCTCAGGGGTGGCGTCAGTGGGGTGCCGGAGGACCAGGCTCCGGAGAAAAAACACAATTGGTCGGAGAGAAAAAAAAAAGTTGTGTGTTTGTTTTTTCCAAAATAAGACCACTTTTTTTATGGCCTCAAATCAACAAATGTCTTTTATCTTTATTAAAGACCAAAGCTGCAAAATACCATAAACCCCGGTCTCAAAAGTGGTCTTTATTGGAGGGAGAATTGTATTAGTATACTCTAGCTAGAATCGATCACATAAGCTCTGAAAAGTGGTTCGGGGCGCCCCAGATCATTTCTAGACTAGAGTGTCTGAACGACGCCCGACCACAGACATTTACGCTCTCGTCGGACTTCCCATCGGGGACATCGGACCCCTGTTTGGAAAAGCCTGGGCCACCCTGAAAAAAAATTCTTCCAGCTACTCACTGGCTAACATTATTTTCTTGTTTTTATACAAAATACTTTCCGTCTCAGGGACGGATCTAGGTTCATATTTAGGGGCGGGGATCATACTTTTTTCATAAAAACGCCAAGAAGAAGGGGGTCCTCCCCCGGGAAAATTTTGATTCTTAGATGGCGAGAAATGAGCTTTCCAGACTTCTGAGTTGTCTTTTAATGACTTTTAAGTTCTTCAAAATTCAAGGTTTTCCCCCTCTTGAAAACGGTCAGGTAAACTTTCTCATTCTTTTTAAAACAGTAAATAGGCCTATTTATGTGTGTATACGTACATAAAAAAAATTGAGTTGCTTACGTATTCTTTTTTCAATGAATGAATAACCCCAAAGAGGAAGGGGGTGGGGGTCCGCCCCCGGGAAAATTTTGATCACTAGATGGCAGGAAATGAGCTTTTCCGACTTCTGAGGTGTCTTTTAATAACTTTTAAGTTCTTAAAAATTCAAGGTTTTCCCCCTCTTGAAAACGGTCAGGTAAACTTTTCATTCTTATTATTGTAAATCCCAACTATGTGTGTATGTACAGTACATAACAAAAATTGAGCCGCTGCATACATATCATTTTTCAATCAATCGATGAATCCCAAATAAGACGGGGGTCGGGGGTCCTCTCCGGGAAAATTTTGGTTCTTAGATGGCGAGAAATGAGTTTGCTGGACTTCTGAAGTGTCTTTTAATCAAAATTCAAGGTTTTCCCCTTTTGTAAACGGTCAGGTATTTTTTTATCATTCTTATTACAGTAAATAGGGCTATGTGTGTACCGGTACACAGATAATTGTTTTGGTCCTGACCCCCCCCCCCAGGATCCACCAATGGCCGATCTTAATGTTAAAAAAATGTGCTTACCTGAAATAAAGTTTTGTCCCGTAACGTGAACAACAAACGAACAGCTTCCTTCGTTACCAGTACCATCAGTAGCGGAACAGGTAACGATTGTCGAACCAACGTCAAAGAAAGACCCTGAAGCTGGTGTACAATTTGCTGACATACCAGTATGTACATTATCAATCACTGTGAGTGGCTTCCATGTTACTGGATTATCAAGCTGGTCAACGGAACTGTTTACAACAATGTGTTGAGGACATAAAAGGGCAGGCTCCTCATCGTCTAAAAGTTTGAATAGTCGTAAATATATTTTTTTTAAACAGCAAATTACAGAAGCCTTCTTAATGGAGAATCTATAGGCGTATAATCCTCCATTTTTGCGATTTTTGGCTGTCAGTAGGGGCTTTCCCCCCCAACATACGCTACGTCAATAAGAGTAACCATGACTTTTTTTCGGAGAATCGACACATTTTTTCGGGGAGAAAAAAAAAAGTTCGAGACAGAGTTGTGACAATGTTATTCTAAACAGAAAGTGTCATTTCTCCCAGGGCTAGTCTAATTTTGAATTAGTTCCCTTAATCGCTCGAAACCCTATTGATACTAAAATAGTATACTGCAGCTTCTTTGACTGGTAATTACTTCTTTCGCCATGTGAGGTATTAAAAATGTTTACACACCTAATTAAGGAATGCCTAGGTTTGCATGCTGTATAACAGTTCAAGGACGAAGGAACAAATGAATAGACAAAGTAATATTTAACATTGTTAATATACCGTATTGTTATTTTGCCTATTTTTCAAAACAATCATTATAATTATTAAGCTTAAGTGAAATTTCATCCTTCAATGTACCGTACTTGACCAATAAATTTCTGTTTTCATGTTTCGTTTAAATCGATTTTTTGTTTTTACATTATTGATGCATTTACACTTTGTAAATTATGGAGCACATGCAAAACACACATAGTTTATTATAGAAAGGCTATATATTAAAAATATTACATCAAGATTTTCTAACCTGAAACATTAACAACAAAAGTACAGTTGCCCACGTTCCCAGTTGTATCAGTTGCAGTACAAGTAACCGCGGTTAACCCAATACCGAACGAGGAACCAGATGGTGGAGTGCAGGTAGACACCAGACCAGTATCAATATTGTCCATTACAATTGGATTATTCCAAGCAACTGGATACGTAATATATCTATTAACAGCATTTACAACGAAGTCGTCTGGGCACATGATGACAGGATTCTGTATATCTATTCATATATTAACATTTACATCATTTCTTTTGTAAATAGTGTAATTCAATATAGAGTCTGTCTCTTATACACATCTAGGGATCTGCGAGTGCGAAACAAATTATTTAGAACTTCACTACCTTTGTAAAAAATTGTCAGTTGAGAAATCATGTTGCAATCATATAAACACTATATTTGTCACTTTAATCCTTTTAAGTGTTCTTAAATTTAAATTAAATTTAATCGTCTTTATACAAGCTAGCATAATTAATATTGTTACATAAATATGTCGAATTTGTCGAAGAATTAATTTCACAGTTTCACACAGGTCTTTGTCATATATTTTGTTTAATATTTTGACCAGTCATGATAAATGTTTTAAAATCGAAAATAGACTTAGGACAATTTGGAATCTATTAAAATACATCTGGTATGTTAATTAGGGTCGTCATTAATAATAATACCGTAATAATAATAATTTTGTATTGGTCCTCATTCAAATTAGAAATTGGGAAAATGTGGCTGGGCCTCATGAGAACCGCGACAGCCGCAGTGCAGCGACACTCGACTTTACAACGTATAACGGACACATACCGTGACAAACATTGTCCTTAACCCAATCTGCTCATATGAGGGTTATTTGAGGAGCCACGCGATCAGACTGCAATTAAAAACCAAACGCTGGCCAGAGGTCTTCAGCACAAAAAACAGAAAAATGTTTGTAGTAAATATTTTAAGGACAAAAATAATAATACCTTTGTATACTTCTACTTCGCAAAGAGTGAGATATTCAGTTTTAGGTAGGTACACACTGACATACCGTCCTTCAATCACTGGTCTGCATGTTATTTCTATGGCTCTTGAGGTGCTTATCATTCCGTTTGTAATAGGTGTTCCACATTGTGCATTTTGCGCAGATGGTGGATAATTACTGTTACCAACACCAACAACAGCTCCAACAAGTCTTTTGGCTTTCAAAACAAATGTATAAATGTTGATGGAATACTGTTTTTGTAACGTTATTATTAATAAATTACATGTCCTCTACATTTTTTCCAACATTTTGAGCATGATTTATAATGATATTGTGCTTCTTACCATCTCGTACGTACGAGATAATGGCTAAAAAAATATTTTTATGTTGGCAGCACATTCCGTACATTACATTATATAAAGCCTGTATTTTGTATTGAAATTATTAATTGTTAAAAAATAAAAGTTCAATTCAGTATGAAGTAAACTTTTTATATTATTTTATTAGGATTAGGAAATAACTCTATCGCAGATATGGACTTACCACAGCAATCATTTCTGTTATATATGACAATTCTGGAAATCGCTATTGATGATCCCAAGTCGAGATACCACCACTGGTTTGGTCTATTTTCTTTTGAAATAAAACTCTTAAGATTATAAACTTTTAGGCCTACACTTTCTTTATAAGAACACTAAGGCTGAAATTGCTTAAAATTTAAGAACAAATTGAGGCTGAGGAAAAACGTCAAACGAGGTCTTAATTTTTGTCTAAACCAACAAAATCCTATCTGTACCTTATTTGCAGATGGTGTGACTATGTAATACCATCTATAATACAGAACGGTAATATACTGCAGTACAATAGTTTTCTATGCTTGAAAAGTATGTAAAATTAAGAACAAAATAAGAACAATTTTAGTCTGAAATCGGAAAAATTAAAAAAGTTTGGACAAATTTTTACTGGTTTTACATATAAAATATAAGTGTAAATCAATATAAATCAGAGAAAACCCTATACATTTATATTTTAAAAAGCGAATATTTCCATTTATCATGTATTGACCAGTAATCAACTTTCTTTTGAAAATTGCAATAGGCCTATAGCCTGGTTCACGTCGTCTTGAAACATGATACGATAATCCCCTAATTGCGTTCGATGCCAAGTTAGAGCCAGATACAAATACAACAATAGTAGCAACAATACAAAAAAAGAAATTTATCAAATTCACAATCCAATTAAACTATAGAATAAATTATTGAAAAAAGTTATATATACAAGGTCATCAAAATTAACAAATATTACAATCCATTTACTTAAAAATTTAATTTAAAATGAGAAATATATATACACAATCATCAAAATTTGCAAAATTTGCAAATTGACATAAAAAAAAAATCCCCAGAAAACAAGAAAAAAAAGAAAAAAAGGAAAGGAAACATATTACACACACATAAAAAACACAGAAAAAGAAAAAACGCAGATACAAGACACCAGCAAAGGAACTTAAATTAAACAAACCACAAAACAAAACAAGCAAAAAACGTTAGTTCGTTGAAACTTAATTAATAGCGAATATTATAGCAGAAATGAAAAAGATTGAATTGTCAATAAATAAATACAACAAATCTGATTTTATTATTAAGAAGAATATACATTATCACTTTGAAAAACGTACGCAATCGGACTTTTTAACGTTATTACTTGGTCGATGTTGCAAAGGGCAAAGGTCATTGGTAATATATCGACTATTCGTAAAACGGACGTTTGCTGGGTTTTTACCCATAATATTACAAATAATTTCTAAAAACCAGACTAATGAGACTACTTCGATGCTGTTGTTAGCATTGTTGGAGTACGTTGTTGCCAGCCAGAAGATGATAATGGTGGTACAATACAACGACGCTGGCTTAGATGCCTACGTTACGTAATCGTGTCCTTGTAATCGGAGCCGACTTTACCGTTAAGCAAGTTAATTTACCGTTATTCTAGTAAAGTTAAGTCACTTAACTTAAAAGAGAACTAGCAAAATGATTTTTTGTTTTAGAGAGGATTTTTGATATGCCATTAATAATAGAATCAACCTTAAAATCTTTTTTTTTGGCTATTTTTTATGAAGTTATAGGCGATTATATACGATTTTACCATGACGTCACTGGCGAAAAAGTAACAAAAGATCGTGTATAGCGCCGCGTAGGGTATCAACCGCGTAGGGTATCCACCACGTAGGGTATCCACCGCGTAGGGTATCCACCGCGTAGGGTATCCGCCGCGTACGATCTTTGCGTGCATGCTGTAACAATCACAATTTACAGCCATGGTTACAGCATACACGCAAAGATCGATTTTAAGGTTGATTCTATTATTAATGGCATACCGTATCAAAAATCCACTCTAGAACAAAAAATCATTTAAACTATTAACAACTTCTATATTCTTGATCTTCAGATGTAGTATGGTCGTAGATATGGCAGACTTTTTTGTACCTTGTCTAAAATGATGATTCGAATAAAACAAATTAACCGTATATTTGGCCAATTAGCACACTCACCGCCACGAAAAATGGAAATTTCATAAGAAAAAAATGTTGCTTTATTTTTATTTTTGGGCCAACCATGTTGTTTAATACGACAAATAATAAATTTAAAGTGTTAAAAATGTTGTATATCGCAGGGAAATATGCAAAGGAGCGGAAATCAAGCTTTAATTAGCAAAAATCTAATGATGGTCACCGAATGGGTATTTTTTAAACCGAGAGAATCACCGAATGGGTATTTTATAAACCGAGAGAAAAAATGGAAAACAGATAGGAAAATTCATAACTGTGAGTGAGGGGACACAATCTTATAAATATTTGCACTATATTTGGAGTTTTACATTTCTTCTAATAAAAAAAAATACAAAAACAAACAAAAAAAGAACAAAGTCATTCTAATCAAAAAGAACAAGATTGCATACTGTCGAAAAAAATATATGATCATATGCTAAGGTCTGTTAAGAGAAGCTTATCTGACTTTAAAGGACGTTCCGCCCTTTTTCTGGAGCTAACACTAGCAAATATTGCTTGAGAGACTGGACTGCTTCGTTTTCGTTCTTGTTTTGCTGTATTTTGTTTCTCCTAAATGTACTGTTTCCCGCTGCATGTCATTTGTGGTAAATATTGTCTATAATTTTCTAGAATTTAATTGACAAGTCTGAGGAGGCATCTAGGCCTGGCGATATTATTTAATGGCTGACGATAGCACACGACGAAGTGCCTGGTTGTTGGATTCGGCACAGATTTCTTTTGTTATTCCGTCCCTGACAAGCGACCAATGGGCAGCGCATAATCGCGAGCTTAAACAATACCTTGGTCCGCTTCATTTTGATATTTCAACAAACGACGTTTCGCCAGCTGACGCCGGTGAAGAATTTACACAACGCCTGCGAGAGTTTCTATTGTCAAAACCGGAATTCGTAAAAAATAAAAGCCTTAATTTAACCGAACACCAGAGCAACACTATACGAAACGAGCAAAACAAATTAAGAACATGCTCAGGAAGAAAGCTTTTGGTGTAAATGGAACGGATCAAGATCGGCGGGAATTTAGAAAAGCAGTTAAGGCCCACAATTATGTGAAACGTATGGAGCGGAGTAAAAAGCAACACAAAAGTTCGCGCCACAAAGAAAACCAATACTTTAAAAACTTTTGGAAATTTTCAAAACTTTGTGTAAATGGAAAAATTAGTAAAGCTCAATCAACACCCACTTTCTCAAAGGAAACAGCCAATACATACTTTCCCCAAAAATATAGTCGAGCGAATAACGTCGATATCCAAAATCTTAAATGGTTCCCCTCTATATTCCTAAAGGAACACTTCATACCTTTTAACCTCGACCCAATTAGACCCAGAGACGTCAGAAAAATTCTCAATAACAAGAAACCAACTTCAGCCCCGGGGGAAGATGGCATCTTATATGGACTCTTACGAAAACTTCCAGCAACATATCATCTCCTTGCCACATTATTTAGTAAACTGCTTATCAGAGGTGATCCTCCAGTAAGATGGTCACGCAGTGTCGTCACCCTTATCCTCAAGGATGGTGACACTAGCAAACCAGGTAACTTTCGGATGATTTCTTTAACATCTTGTATCGGTAAATTATTCCATCAAATCGCTGCCGAACGAATAGCTAACTTTATGACAAGCAATATGTATATTGATCCTGAAACACAAAAAACGTTCCTGAATGGGATAAATGGATGCGTAGAACATTCAATTGTAATAAATGAATTGCTAGCGCACGCAAGAAACAAGAAAAGGACAATTCTTCTTTCTTCGATTTAGCCGACGCCTTTGGCTCAGTCGAGCATAACTTAATAAACTACACGATGGAGAGATATAGAATCCCACCTACCATCCACAGTTATATAACTACACTTTATTCAAGACTCAGTGGAAAAATCCGTGGTCCTGCTTGGCAGTCATCGGATTTTAATTTCTGTCGGGAGGTGTTCCAGGGTGACCCCCTGTCACCTATAATTTTCTTAATGGCTTTCACCCGATTATACACTACCTGAAAACCAAGGAGTCCGCGCATGGCTACGAACTCGAAGGAAAGAAATTTATCACTCTTCCATTTGCAGACGATTTTTGTCTAATCACTAAAGACAAAAGGACACATCAGAAACTAATGAATGAGATAATAGATATTACACAATCTATGCATCTTTCTCTTAAGACTGTTAAGTGTAAAACCATGTCCATCAGAGGCGGTAAGCCTGATGAATGCAACTTTTCATTGAGGGCTAATATTCTTAAGTCCTTGAAGAGTGCACCCAAGAAATTCCTCGGTAGTATATTGTTTTTTAGTGGTAAAACTAAGGAAACCTTTGAATTCATAAAGAATAA